TGGGTGTCCCCGGGGACCAGCAGAAAGGGGCAGCCCCAAAGTGCCACCTGCCCTGCAGCAACAGAGGCAGCAAGTGCATCCCCCTGAGCTCACCCTGTCCCTCCAGTTCACATCTGCTCTATCTTCCTTGCTTTATAGAATCACGGAATCATGGAATGGTTTGGGTTGGAACAGACCTTTAAGATCATCTAGATCCAACCCCCTGCATGGGCAGGGACACCTCCCACCAGCCCAGGTTGCTCCAAGCCCCATCCAACCTGCCCTTCAACGCTGCCAGGGATGGGGCAGCCACAGCTTCCCTGGGCAACCTGGGCCAGGCTCTCACCACCCTCAGAGTGAACAATTTTCTCCTCATGTCTCACTTAAATCTGCCCTCTTCCAGTTTTAATCCATCCCCCTTGTCCTCTCACTCCCTGCCCGTGTCCAAAGTCCCTCCCCAGCTTTCCTGGAGCCCCTTCAGGCACTGGAAGGTGCTCTAAGGGCTCCCTGGAGCCTTTTCTTCTCCAGGCTGAACAACCCCTTCCCATCCCTTTCACAGCAGGAGTGGCCAAGGTCCTACCCCTCACGCTCAAGTCAATGCAATTCAATTTTGCCTCCACAGCACAGAGAGGCAAGGGAAGGGCAGGAGCCCCTGCACCTTCCTGAGTAAACCTCAGCTTCCAACACCCTTGGGAAGTGGAAGAGATCAAATGCCTGGTGACAGCCATTCTGCAGCCTCTCCTTAGGCTTTTGTAACTTGGTGCTACGACACTTGGAGCTACTTCCCTGCCAGCAAATGGTGAGAGAAGAAGCCTGGTGTGATAAGGAGTGGGAAACTGGGACACCTGTGGAATAACATGGAGGGAGAAGGAGGCCCTGGAATGGAGAAGAGGCTCAAAGAGCCCTGGGCAGCAACATACAGAAAGGAGACACAGCCAACATGTGGGGCAGAGCAGAGCTGAGAAAGCCTGAGCAACAAAAGCTAGACTGGTTAACCCACCCAGTTAAGTGCCAGAGGCTTCACAGACTTCAAAGCAACACTGTGAGAGCAGAGGCAAGGAGTCATATCCAAGAGAAGAATCTGGTTTGAGGAACTCCAGCTGCTTCAAGGAAGTAGCAGGTGCCCCCAGCTCAGTAAGCACAGACTCTCTAGGCAGGAGAGTGGCCAGGACAACTCCTGCAGGTTGCTGGTCCACACCTGCCCCGTGGCTCTGACAGACCACACACCCCCTGCACACCCTGGTGTGGCACCACCAGCACCTGCCCCACCTTCCCCAGCTGCCTGCACACACTTGACCACTTTTGTTTCACCCTGGGGTTTGTTTCAGAAGGGGATCTCAGGCTTCACCAGCACCTGAATCAGCAAATTCTTCCACCAGCTGCAGGAAGGCAAGGTGTTGTGGTGGCTGTGTTGATGTGGGTGACTCCAATCCCTTTCTGACTCCACAGGGCACTTGGCACAGCAGGGACAGCTCAGTGCCAGTGGCAAGATGACATGGAGCTGCCTTGCCCCTGTAGCCAACTGGCAGGAGGGCAGGCTGGCTCCCTGCAGCTCCCAGGGAAAAGCAACCAGCTGAGAAAATGCTTTCCCTGTTTTCAGTCTCTGCACAATTAGGAGGAGCAAAGGCCACTCCTCACAGACCCAAACACATCCCAGTAATTAGAGGTGTTGGGAAGAGACTCCCCAGGACTGACATTACTGGGTTTGGGTGAGTCCAATGCTCACAATAGACTCGATTCATTAATCCCATCTCAGCATTTCTAACCAACCTCTAAACTACCCATAACTAAAGTTCTACCGTTGCTTCTGTTGTCTGCAGTGTGGAGCCCTCTGCTCACAGCCTGGGGAGGAACAACGACTTCATGAGCTAAAAGTTCCTTTAGTTATTACCTTGTCTCTCATCTCCTCAGGAAGAACCCCAGGGGTCCTAGGTGTCCAGGACCATCCCCCAGGGGAACCCTCTTTCTAGGAGACCCAGGCATCTGTAGTGACCCCCCAGGGGACCCAGGTATTTGGGAGCCCCCCCAGGGGATCCCCAACTCCCCAGGGGATGCAGGGGTCCAGGATCATCCCCGGTGACCCCCTCAGGGGTTGCTGGTGCCCCCCTGCAGCAGAGGCTGGGGGATGGCAGGACCAGGGTGTGCTGGTGGGCACTGTTTGTGCAGTTACCCTGCTCTGCCCGTGCCCCACAGGCCTCTGCACACTCACACACTCCCTCAGGGCCTCTCTGCTCAGCTCTCGGACCACGAGGCCCTTCAGCAGGTCCAGACAATGACACCACCAAGGTGTCACAGCTGTAACCCCAAACCTGCCATCCGTGCTCCACAACACAGATAAGAACCTCTGAAGAAGAGCAGAGGTGGGGACGTTGGGGACTTCTCCAGAATACAAGGGTTCCCCTCTCCTCCTCCTCTCTTTCAGTATCCCTCAAAACTGGGGAACAGTTCCCCCTGCACTGGGCAGGGTGCAACTGAAAAGAGTACCCTAAAACTGAATCAAAGGGATGGCCTGAACTGCCTTCTTGTCCTCTGCCTCTCATGTTTCTTGATTTTTCCAGGTCACCACCACAATAATAAATATTTAAACACAGGAGAATGGAAAGATTGGTGGCTTGTGCTGTGGCCATCACTTCTACATGCATAAAAGAATGCAATAAATTGCTGATTAAATTGTGAACTCAAGAGAACTACACCAGGATTGAATGCTCCACATATTCAAAACATGGCCTGAGTGTTCAGTGGCTCTTTTCTCCAAACATACCCAAGACCCAAGACCAAGAGAGATCAACCCACCTGGCTCCATAGACATAGAAGCAGTAGATGTGGAAGGTGAGAAGGGCAATGATGTCTGAGAGGATGCAGAGAGCCACAGTCAGGCCCAGACAAGCTGACAGACCAACATACCAGAGGATCATCTCAATGAATGGGGACATCAGGTGGATGTAGCCTAGTGGACAAGGCAGAGTGTCAATGTCTGATTGAGACATCAGTGTTGACATTCTCAAAAGACTGATTTCCCCCACCCTGTAACATGGCTCCAGAAATCACAGCCACAAAAACTTGGAAGTAAAAACTGGAAAACTCCTTCAGATGCCACCTTCTGTTTCTGAGGCCCAACAAAAACTCTCACTCCCCTCAGGTTTCTGTCCAGGTGTGGCAGCTCTGTGAGCACAGATAACATACTTAGCTTCAACAGAGCAGTCACCCTGCTCCACAGGGGATTTGCTTTTCTAGATTTGTGTCCAGCTGCATACATCAACCTTCTGGTGGCTTCTGCAAAACAGAACTGTGGAGGCACAGACTCTTTCATCACTACAGTGGAGCAAAGGCACAGTAACAAGACCACACATGATTGGTGAGCAAAGTTAATCTGTGTAATATCTAAGGAGTTAATGTCCATTGTGACTGTTGTCCTTCATCTAGACACTTACCAGGGATACAAGGGGTGTGACATTTCAAGGAGGGATAGGAAATAAAACTGCACTGATGTGAAGCCAGTGACAGGACAGGGTTGGCATTTGCATCCCAGGAGCTCACTGCTCATCCCCATCCTGCATGGCAAAGACTGAAATCCTACACCAGACCTGCAGCCTTCCCTTGGACACTCACCACTGATGGCCCCAGGGAAGCAGGGTCTGTTCTGATCTGCAAAGCAGCAACAGAAGCACTTTATTTAACATGCATGACTTCCTGGTGTGGGAATCCAACCTTGGCTTGCATTCCCACAGCAGGAAGACTCCCAGACAAGTCTGTCCTTGCAGGAGTGCATTTTGATTCATTATTCACCTCTAGGCAAACATCAAACCCTCAGGAAGGAAGAGATGAAGAGTGGGGCTGAAAAGTTAAACAACTGCACTTACTAATCCACAGATGGATGTGGTAAAGGAAGAAACGGCCCAGAACCTGATCCAAAGCTCTGTTCATTTTCAGTCCTGCTGGTGCTCCCATCAACCACTGGAGCAGGTCCTGGAGCCCTTCAGCTACGTGCTACAAGGAAGCAAGGAGATAAAAGACATTGAACAGGTCCACTGCATTGTACCTGCTGCTCCCACAAGTATTCTTACCACCTAGTCACCTAGTTTAAAAAAAAAACCAACAAACAGCCACTTTACAGAGAGGTTGGTAAAACAAGATGTGTCTTTACTGGCTCTTCAATCCAAACCTAAAAGCAGAGAGGGAGCTGCACTGGTTAAATGGTTTCAGTGCTGGGAACATGAACCTGGTGTTTGTTTTGCAGCCACCTCTGGGAGACTTGCACAGTATGATTTCCTGGTGTAATGAGAGTTCTTGAATAGATGGCAAAGGTCAGGCACAAATCAACTTCTCTGGACAGGTGAGAAGAGTGCTGTGAGGGCTTCACCAGCCCAGGCTGCCCAGGGAAGCTGTGGTTGCCCCATCCCTGGAAGTGTTCAAGGGCAGGTTGAATGGGCCTTGAGCAACCTGGTCTGGTGGGGGGTGTCCCTCCCCATGCAGGGGGTTGGATCTAGATGATCTTTAAGGTCCATTCCAACCCAAACCATTCCATGATCCTCTACTGTGCTGTATTTCAGTACTCAACTGAAAAGTCAGACCTGAGCAAGTAATGGGGAAGGGTGCCAGGATTTTATAACAGGGTAGAAAGCTGTGTGCTCAGTGCCAAAAAGAAAAAAGCATGGTAGAAAACACAATTATATTAATGTATTTCATACCTAAACAAGCTTCCTTAACATTCTGTGGTGTATTAGGCAAGATGAACCACGCCAGGGAGCTCCTGCCCACCACCATCATGTCTCTGCAGTGACACACCCATGGCAGTCAAAAAGAAGCCCCTGTAATCATTGAGTAAAAAGCCTAATGGTGCTTTTCCCCAATTCACTTTGCCTCACAATTTCTGGTGATTTCATCCCAGGCTGATGGTATTTACTGATTTTCTCTCTCCACCCCATCACCCAGCCCAAGGTGCCCCTTGCAGCTGGCAGGTCAGAAGGTGGGGTGGCTCCACTCCTTGGTAGTTCCCACCTGACTGACCCACCTAAGCTGAAACCAGTGGTGAAGTTCAGTTACCAGGAGGGGAACTGAGGCAGCTGAGAGAAGAAACCCCCAGCAAAAAGATTTGGAACATACCTGGAAGAAGTGACTTCCTACACTGTCCTACATGAGCAGAGCTGGTGAGGAAAGGCTTCTGCCTCTGAAAATCCCACTTGTGGCCATGTCCATGCAAGTGAGCTGCACTGCAAATTGTGCAGGTGTAGGAGAATCCAAACATGCTGCCTAAAGCTGATGCACTGTGATCTACTTTCCCCACCATTCACATGGATAATTTCCCTAAGGGAAATTTCCTAAGAGGAAATTATTTCCAAGGAATGATTCCCTTATATTATTAACCAACAGGATCCTTGCAAAATGAGTTTCTAAACATTTACTTTTAGTGCAGTGGCAAAATGAAGGGCTCCATCTTCCACTTACCCCAAAGGATTGCCTTTTTATTTCACTCATTTTCTCTCTGTCTCCCTGCAAGTCAGAACTGATTTGAACCCGTGGATCTTACCTCTGTGGCCAAGAAGTGTGAGCTGCTGTATAAATAGACTGGGTTTAATATTTAAAGTGTTGGATTGGTAACTTAGAAAAAGCATTTGGGGATCTTAATGAAATATTGAAATGCTTGAAAGCAGCTCTTCAGTGAGGTTGCTTCTCAGCACTGACTACTTCTGCAGGCTGGAAGTCCCAGAGGTGCTCCTCAATTCAGAGAGGGGCACGTAGCCCTGGGAAGGCTCATCAGCTGGACAGGGCTTTTCACAGCATAACCTTGCACCTTGTTTTCCTGCCAGATATTTTAGGAGTGATCAATAGCAAGCAGAAATCAGGAAAGGTGACTGGGAGGCCAACTCTCCCGTTGCAGTTACGAATTCTGGATGTGGCCAGTACAAACAAATAAGATATAGGGAAGTGTTTCATAAAGGGGTGCAGGGACATCAGTAAATAGAGACTAAAGTGGACCTGGTTCAGATGAGATGATTACAGAAATGTTTGTTTTACTGACATGCTCTTCTTTCTAGCCTGCACCTGCAGAGGGTCTCCTGGAGATGTGACATGGATGGAGAAGGACAGGCAGGGCACTGTGGGTGGGCACCCTGGGCACCAGCAAGCACAGTGCAAACTTCCTGAGAGGAGCATCTTGTGCAAGCCAGAGCAAGCAGAGCCACAGAACTCCCCAGCAGACACAAGTGCTCTTTGTTGCAGGCATTTTGGGCTCAAAGTTACACTATTTTACCAATTAACATTGAAGAATATTTTCCTGGTACTGTCCTCTCTGCTTGCTTTGTTTGTGGATTAGCAGAACATGACTGAATAGGAACTTGCATCCAGTTTTAGGAAGAAATCCTTTGCTGTGAGGGTGAGACACTGGCACAGGTTGCCCAGAGGATCTGAGGATGCCCCATCCCTGGCAGTGTTGAAGGGCAGGTTGGATGGGGCTTGGAGCAACCTGGTCTGGTGGGAGGTGTCCCTGCCCATGCAGAGGGATTGGAACTGGATTATCTTTAATGTCCCTCCAACCCAAACCAGTCTGGGACTCTGTGATTATCTCTGAGCTCCAGTAACATTTTTGGAGGCATGATCTATGGTAAATATTTAACTGTGTCAAAGAGATCACAGCTTAAGAAAAAGGGACATCAGCAAGGATGAAAGAGGTGAAGGAGAAAAAACAACAAAGAGGACAGTTTATAAGCAGCTCTTCTTTATAAAACAGACACATGTAGCACTTGGAAACAGGTATTTTTTAAAGGAAGGCTGTCTTGTGGAAGGCAAAAACAAGACAACCATTGGCAAGCCTGGTGGGATCAAGGGGAAGGAGGAGGGTAAGAGTTGAGAGGGCACCTACAGAGAGAAGATTATTCATATTTTCCATTCTTGGATGTGAAAGCCTGATCAAAAAATGAGTCCTTCATATTGCACACAGCTACTCGCCAGTTCCTCCCTAGGTGTCTCTGAATCACATCTGCTTCAGAGCACAAAAGCAACTTGTTATTACAGTCAGCACAGCTCAGCTTATCAAGCTGTGAGAGTGGGAGCTGCAATCAATGGTGTCTTGTGCATCATCAACACTCCCTGAGTGCTGGTTTGAGAGCCATTGTACCCAGGGATGACGAAAGGTGGCAGGGGAGGGCGGCTTGATCCCCACGTCAGCAGCCTGAGCTTGTCACCCTGGCAGCTGTTGTGAGCCAAACTGACCTACCTGCAGCTGCCTCCTTCCTGAGACATGTTTGCTAGGAAAGGAAATAATGAGCACTGCACCCAGTCCCCACACAGGTCTGATTTTGTCTGTATTCAAATCAATCGCTCAAACCAATAAGGTTCTAGGTTATATAAAGTTAGTTTGTCAATATTAAAATCAATCCAATCAATTAGGCTAAAATAAGGTTATGTAGATAAACTTTCAATACATAATTATCTTATACATCATGTTCTCTATACTAAGGTCAGTGTCATCACCAGATCTGGGGCACATCTCAAAAGCAGAGCAGAGAGGAGCAGGAGGGAAGAAACAGCAACTCCTGCACATGGGAAAGTCTGTGTTGCTGAACTTGGCAACATGAAGCACAGAGAGAGCCCAAGTGATGGGAATAATGTGTACCAGATGGACACTCAGCAGCAAGGAAACCTACTGCTGAATGGCTACGGGGAGATTTTGCTGTCATACTGGAAAAGAAGTGGTGCTGGCTTGCACACCACGTGCTGAAGTCATTGGTCTATTTTGGGATCACTTGGATCTGCGTTTTTAAGTCCTGCACATGACACGTATAAATCCCTGCCCACCAAAGCTTGGGATCCAAATGGTTTGATATCCAAAATCTAATATGCTTGAAAGCAGAAAGGAAGGCTGGAAAGTAAGAAGAGTTGTAAGTGGCTTGAACTGATAAGCTTGGAGGAGCAAAGAAGAAAGGCACTGACTGACTCCCAGGCCACCCACACAAGGAGGAGGCAGCACTTCCAGGAAAGTACATCAGCAGCTCCTGGTGACTGCAAGGGAACAAAGCCTGTACATGTAGGAGACATGGTCAGAACTAACTGACACTGCCATCAGTACCCTCAGTGACAGATGAGTTAAATTACTGACAGAGCAATCAAGGAGCAGCTCTCAGGAGCAAGCCTATCCAGGACAGGTGCTGGGGCTGGATACACCTTGAGCACGGAGAGCATCCATCTGCCAAAGACACTGGGCAGATGGAACCCCTCCTGGAGCCACCTGTGCAACCAGGAATGCAGCCAAAAGCCACTTCCTTGCAGACTTGTTAAGAAATCAGATTTCTGAGAGCTGGACAATTAAAGGAATCACACAGGGAGAGCTCTAGAGAACTTAAATTTCTCCAGCTGAAGTATCTGTAAAGGAAAAGATTTAAAAATATATTTTTAGTGTGCACCTCAAATACAAGAGCAAGAATTGTGGTCCTTTCTACCCCTGCTGCTGAATGGTGTCTGCAGCAATCCTTAAAATGTGTAATCCTGAAAAGCTAGATTATGAAAATAGCAATAATCATGATCCACAGCTATGCTGGACACTCCATACACACCTTCTGAAACCACAGTGTGTACAGGAATGATCAGAGACCTGTGGCTTCATGGATCAAGCAGATCAGCATCACGGGACGTGTGAGCTCTTCCCAAGAAAGACAGGATAAGTAGGAAAAATTAACTGCTGCTGGAATTCTCTGATTAGAATATAATTCCTCTCCATCCAGAAACCAGAAAAGAGCCAAAGAGAACAGTTCTCCAGCTGCTAGAAAGAAACCAATGGAAAGATCCACCTTCTCTCCCAGAAATGAGAGAAGAGTGGGCAGGGAAGGGATCAGGCTGTGCAGCTGCTTGGCAGTACTCAACATTGGCTGCACATGTATCCCCAAGACACAGAAGCTCTAAAATGGAGCTGACTTCACATTAGTGGTCTGGTCTGAAGCCTCTAAAGTGCATCATGTGTTCCTGACTGCCACTGAGCAGATACACTGGAGAAATGCTCTTAAAATGAGCCACCAGCAAAGCAGGACAGTATGAGTCACCCTGGTTCTTCATGGATTTAGACTGATGCTGAGGGATCTCAGTGGGCAAGAGGATTTACGTTGGAGAAAATCACAGGCAAGTTCTCCTAGTTTACCATCTGTACCCCAGAGCTCTTGGACAGGATGTCAGGTGTTTGTGTCCTGCCTAATTAACACCTCTGGTTTTCCCCATGAAATTCCTCCTCACAAGCACAGCTCCCTATCAAGTTTGACTTTTCAGCAGTGGAGCAGATTAAACACAGGTAACACCTCTTTTCTTCCTCCCCCAAATGCATCCAGCAACTGGAGGACATTTTCAGTTGTCTCTAGAATAAAAGCATTCTGGCTCCATAACCAACCTGCAGCTGCAGAGCTCTGTCCAAACCTTAATTGTTGCTTCAGGAGCTGGAGCAGCCCCCCAGCAAACATCCAATTCACTATTCACTGCACATGCAGAGCAGAGTTGTGCTCCTTTTGAGCAGCCCCAGCAGGCTTAAAGATTCCACTGTTCTTGAGGAGTCCTAACCTGCATGATTTCAGACAGGACTCCCTGAAATCCCTGTGCAGGAGGCACTGCCTCCTTACAGCTACCCTGGGCAGCAAGAGCTGGTCAGGACCCACCTGCAGGAGAAAGAGAAACAGCTTTGGCCAGACTTACATCAGCTGCAGGGATGAGGGTGTCAGCAAGGTGACCAATTCTGTTCTTTCTGTAGAGCCAGGACATCAGCAGTATCCCCAGAGCCACATCCACCAGCAGAGAGACAAAGATGTTGGCTTTCCTGCACACAGGATAAAGAGAAGCAGTGTTAGAGAAAGAGGAAAGACAGGGTTTAATATTTCAATAACAACTCTCAGCTTCACTTTCATAGTGCCTTTTATGTCCCAGGGACACCAGGACAATTTGTTTAGAGACCTTTTGACTTTCACTGGGGTGCTGCTACTTCTGGGGCCAAACATGGAGACACAGGCAGCCTCCCACCCTAGCCCACCTTCCCCAGTAAGGAGTGAGGACTGGGATTAAAGCTACAAAGAGGAACATTACACCAAGTGTGCTTGCATTTACTTAGGGGGCTTTTATCCATGCTAAGGGCACCAGCCCCTGGAGCATCCATGCTGAGATCAGAGGGCCTCCCAAGAGGCACACTTGAGTTGAACCACCAGCTGAAGGAATAAATAGTTTTTCTGGGTACACAAACACACCCAGAAGGGCTACTGAGCTGCCCCCTCACTGCTAGAGTTTCTGAATGAAATTTCCTGACGTGAGTTATTTGGGAAATCAGACTAAACAATCCCAGCTACTTTTGGCCTTCAAAACTATTTTAAGTGTTTCCTGGGAGTCTATTACTGCAGGATCAGAGAACCACAGAGAACACGACTCGCTGGGTAATGGCCACGGGGCATTCAATATCTGTCTCAGATCTCTGCCTCTCCCTGTTCCACTCACTGTGCTGCACATTTGCTTTTTCTGTTACACTGATTTTGTTCCTGCTGCTGGAATGGTGTCGCCAGCAGGAGCAGGGATGTGATTTCCCCCCTGTGCTCAGCACTGGGGAGGCTTCACCTCGAGTCCTGTGTCCAGTTCTGGGTCCCTCACTGCAAGAAGGATCTTGAGGTGCTGGAGCAGATCCAGAAGAGACAACAAGGCTGGTGAAAGGACTGGAGGGAAAGTCTGATAAAGAGGGAGCTGGGGTTGGTTAGCCTGGAGGATACTCAGGGGGGACCTTCTCACTCTCTACAACTACCTGAAGGGAGGTTGTGGTCAGGTGGGGATTGGGCTCTTCTGCCAGGCAACCAGCAACAAGATGAGAGGGCCTGGCCTGAAGCTGCTCCAGGGGAGGTTTAGGTTGGGTATCAGGAAGCACTTCCTCATGGAAAGGGTGATCAGACATTGGAATGGACTGCCCAGGGAAGTGGTGGAGGCACCAACCCTGGAGGTTTTCAAGGAAAGGCTGGAGGTGGCACTTAGTGCCATGGTCTGGAGATGTGGTGGTGCTGGTCATAGGCCGGACTTGATGATCTTAAAGGTCTTTTCCAGCCTTAGTGATCCTGTGATTCTGTGAGTCTCACGTCTGTGGTTACTGCAAGAAAGACTCCCCAAAAGAGGGGAGGACTGAAACTATCCTACCCTTCTGAGAAGTGCCACTGAACACTGATGGCAGGTTCTGGTTAACAGCAGCATAACTGAGAGCAATGAGCTGGTGGGTGCACCAAAACACTAAGGTGGGTGCAGTACAAGCTTTCTGTGGGCAATATCCTGGTTGTTTGTCCCAGGCCAGGGAAAAAGACATTTATCTGGCAAAAGTAGTGCCTGGTGAAAGGACAAGGGGGAATGGGCACAATCTGGAACATGGGAAGTTCCATCTGAATATGAGGGAAAACTTCTTTACTGTGAGGGTGACAGAGCCCTTGGACAGGCTGCCCAGGAAGGCTGTGGACTTTTCTTCTCTGGAGATAATCAAAACCTGCCTGGATGCAGCCCTGTTGGATGTGCTCCAGGCAACCCGGCTCTAGCAGGGGGGTTGGACTAGATCATCTCCAGAGGTTCCTTCCAACCCTGATGATTCAATGAAAAGGCAGAATTAACATAAACAGATTGCAGGGTAGAGATCTGCAGACTACCAGGGAGTAGGAGCCCATGGTGCTGTGCAGGCACAGGATCCATGGCTAGGTTCCCCAGAGGACACAGTGCTAGAGCAAAGTCATATGTGACTCCATGGGTACTCCATACCTCATCAGCTGGGTCTGGTTTTGAGCCTTCTTGTTGCTGCTGATGACCTGGAGGTGCTGCAGGCGATGTCCCAGCTGCTCACAGGTGGAGAGTTTGCTCCACAAGAAAGACAAAGGCCAGAAATTCAGCACCCTGCAGAAACACCATGGGAATCTCCTGTTCTGCTTTTGCCACAGAGCAGGCTGTTCTATGCAAAACATTCCATGTATAGTTCAGGTTGTGCAACCAGAGATGGTGTCAACACATTGTCATTTAAAGAACATCAGATGGTAACTATTCTCCTAAAGGTTAGCAGAACTAAGGCAGACTTCCCAGATTAAGACATCTAAAGCAGACAACCTCTCATTTCCATTCTGTAATACCAAGTGTCTCACTCTTCCAAGGAAGCCAGAATGCAATCCTGATTCCAGCCTGGTTTTTGGGATACCTCCCTGGGATTGCACACTGCTCTGAGTCTCCAGGAGACTGGAGTCAAGGCAGTTGTGTGTGCCCCACAACAACACAACATGGTGCAACTGCTTCCCAAATCCCACCACTACTGATCACAAGTCTCTATTGAGGGTGAGCTGGGGTCTCCTGGAAGTTTCTGTCCATTTCTCCCTCTTTTCTTTCTCATTTTCTTATTTTTTTTTCTTTATTGCTTCCAAATTCCTTTCTTAGGGTCTTCATTTCTATCTTCTTTCCCCTGCCTTGCCCAGGGTGACCAGCATTATGTAGATAACACAACATTTAGCAGTTAATTAGGTTTGAATGTTAACATCCATATTAGGCTTGTAGGGGAGGAAACGTTCACATGGTTCTTTTTTTTTTATGACTCAGAAGAAAAGTACTAAACGATGCTCAATTATTTTTGGGAGTTACTTCTATTACCATCCAACCCCTAAAGAAAGGAATGATGGTGACCTGTGTAATCTAAAATGCCCCCACTGGGTGCAGGCTGGTCACAGAATGCACAGTAGTGCTACTGCAACACAAAGCACCACATTTGTCATGGGGAATAAACTCTGAGGTGGACATAATTTGGATCCCTTCTTTCCTGCACACAAAGGTTGTTTCACTATTTTCACAGTTTCACTGTTTCTCATGACAGATCCAGGAATCTAAGTCCCCTTTTAGTCACTTCCTTCACCTACTCTCTCTCATTGCTTTGGCACATTCCTTCAGTTGACATTCATTCCAAACATGAGTGTTACTCCTGGGATCCTGCTCTGCTTTTGAAATTGTACAGCTGTTTGGATCATTAGTGAGCATGGCCTGGAGACATCCCTGCACTGTGTGCCTGCTGTCCCCAGCTTTTCTCTGAGGACCTCAGCCCCCTGGTCAGCAGCAGAGAGCCTCCAGGCCTGGCCAGGATACCACACAGGATGATGGGCAGACTGGGGCTCCATTTATACATTTTACACAAATGGCTTTAGAAAATCCTGCTTGTTTCCCTCTGGCTGCTGTCCCCTTCCTGCCCTCATCCTCCTGAGCCCTTTCACCCATCCTTCCTGTAAGGTTTGTCACCTTAAGAAGCAGAGTGCTGATGTCCCCCTTTCTCCCTCCCCCTGTGAATTTCAGACACATTGGTTCTGAAGTCCACGCACTGTGCTGTGAATCATCCTTCATCTGAGGCCCCCGAGTTACTCAGCTCCTCGTTCCAACCTCCCACCTTAGAGACAAACACATGCCTTGATCTTCAGCTGACTTGTCAGGAGGGGAGATCTGCAGTGGAGGAAGGAAGGAATGTTGAGCGGGGGAGGACACATGGGGGTGACTGCACTGACCACCCACCTCAAAGACCCTGGTCCACAGATTCACTCAAGCACACGTGCAGGTGAGTTTTCTCTTCCAATTATACCCTAGCCCAGTGGTTCCAAATTTCTGCTCTGGCTAGAGCAGAAAATTGCACTTAAAATCCAAAGAAGGGGGAGGAGAGAAGCTTTACCTGAGCAGTTACCTACAGGTGAAAAATGCCTGGTCAGACCAGGATCTGCCAGAGCATCAGCTGGAGCAGAAAGCCACAGCTCTAGAGCCCTGTGCTGCACCCTCCCTGGGCTCACAGTGTCCCCATTCTCTCCAGCATCCTCTCTTATCATCCACTGCTGCTCCACAGTTCCCACCACCAGAGGCAGCCTGAGGGTCACCCACCCACCAGACACCCCTGGTCAGAGGACAGGACACACTGGGAACACCCTGCACAAGCGGGAATGCCTGCCAAAGCAGCCCCATCCCCAGGAGCCCCCCCATCCCCAGAAGCCCCCCCAGCACGTGAACCCAACAGGTAAACACACCCTCAGCTGACAGGATGGGCCCAAAAGACACTCTGTGCTTCCCTATACTACAACTTACCCTCTTTTCTTTCCACTTAACAGCCAGAGGAAATCCTCTATTCCACTTACATCCCTTCTTTGGAAAGTAAATCCATAACTGAAATCCATCATTGAAATAAAAATACAAACACACTGCAAAAAGCTCAGTGTAATAGTTGCAGGATGTGCAATGGGAACTCTGATCTCTAGGACTACTGAGGAGGAAAGACAAAAATATTTCCTGTGTGGTCTCCTACCAACTGTGCATCCCCATAAATGCTCCCACTTGTTTACCACTCAGCACACAGAATGATTTTCAGGAGTGCAATGGAAAACCAAGCAAATTAAACAAAAACAACACCTTGTGTCATTGCATTATTTCAGGAGACCTTTGGGGTATTTCCAAATCTGAGGAACTTAAGAAATAAATCAGCACAGCCTGCATGAGTAAATCTTGATTTTCCAATTCATTGTTTTTTTCCAAGAGTGAGACTGGGGTTTTCCAGCATCAGACAAAAAGCAATCTTTCAAAATCTGCATCACATGCAAATATTAAAGCTCCACTAACCAGAACCCCCAGCTGTCCTTCTGCTCCTTGCTAGAAACCACAGGCTCAGACACTCCCTTCTGGGTGAGGAACCAGAGGTCCCGGTGTGTGCAAAGGCACCTTTTGTAAAAGGAGCCCGCAGAGCTGATTATCTCAACACTAAATCATCCTGGTGAACCTCATGGCACACTAAAGACAGACCTTCAGCGGCCATGGAAACGCTGCAGCCCGGTCCCTCTGAAGAGGGACTTGCAGTGGGTGCCCCTCAGCACAAGGTGGTGCTAAGAGATGCCTTAGTTTGGGATGTGCCGCCTGGAGAGGTTCTGGAGCTGGGCTGGAGGGCAGCGCTGCCCCCTGAGCTTTCCTGCCCCAACGGGGGCATGTCCAACAAAGCCCTCAGGGGGCATCACTGACCTCTGTCTTTAGCTTTTCAAAGATTATTATCCTTCAACATCACAAAAAAACTGGGAAAGAAAGGTACTGTGACCTGAAGAAGCAAAAACCTAGCAGATCAGATTTTATGGGACATCCTGTCCCAGATCAGGAAGGAGGGGACTAGAACTATAGAATCCCAGACTGGCTTGGGTGGGAAGGGGCCTTAAAGATCATCCAGTTCCTACTCCCCTGCATGGGCAGGGACACCTCCCACTATATCAGGTTGCTCCAAGCCCCATCCAACCTGTCCTTGGGAGAAGGACAGGGAACATCTTGAACCCTCCCTGCCTTGTGTGTGTGTTGGCACAAAGGAGGTTGTACCACAGATCACGTGCTAAGTTGAACCAAGTTACATTAAACGACTTAGAAGGTCAAGCAGGAGGTTTATAACAACGTCAGGTACTAGTCTCTGTTCTCCAAGCCCGATGTTTTAAAACACCCATAAGATAAGTAAACATAATGCTGATGCTAAGGGTGAATAAACCAAGAAGAAAGCAATCTGGATCTACCTCCCAAGGTTATGAACAAGTTCAGCCTGGGTTTCTGCACAGCAAGCCTTGCACTCTGCCTGCTGCTGTGTACAGGCTGCCAGGCTGCTGCTCTGGAACAACACCTCCCTGCTGGGCTCAGGAAAAGCTGAGATCAGAACAGCTCCTGATCAGCTGGGTAGCAGCTACTTATGCCCAGCCTGCCAGACCAGGCTTCAGCTCCCAAGTTATTATGCTCAAGCTGTTGGGCCCTCTGGAGACCTGCAAGGCTCAGGCTTAACCTGACTCTAAGCCTGGTGTGAATCCTAGCACGGATCAAGGTGGGCAAGTCTGACCTTCAGAACAAGTGCTGGTGCAGAAGAGGATCCACCTGTTTCTTAGCAGTCACACACAGTCCATGGCAAAAGGACCTTCAGAGCTGACTTCAAATCTTCTACCCAACCACAAAATTCTGACTTAGTTCCCATTAACAACCGTTGACTTATTTACTATTAATAACCATGAATGCATAATCAGTGTCTACAGAGGAGTCCCAGGAACCAGTGGTCCCTGATTATATTGGGTTTGGGTCTGACCCTAAAACTCTTCCACCAGAGTAGCCCAGAACTGGACAGTTTTCCCTGTGTGTACCAAAGTGTGGAATCCAACTTTGCAGGAAATCTTTGCACATGAAGAGTTTCACTGTAATCTTCTGTGACAGCATCATACCACTGGAAACCTGTTACAAGACTCGGTTCCCCACACCCTCAGGCTGTACTTGCAAAGATTCATCCATGAATACAGTAGTAGCTGTTATCCAAATTTCATCAATCAAAGTGTCCTCTTGCAGCTTGGAACCTGAGCTCCACTCCGCTCTCTGGCACACCCTCTCTGGGCAGGCTCATTAAAAACTTTCTCCACACAAAAGCTTCTTCCCTTCAAATCTGCTCAGAACCCCTCTCTGTTGCAAGCACTTGCCACACATTCCATTTGAGGCATCTTGTTCTGTTTCATGGTTGTGACATCTACCAAGGATTTGTGTAGACCAGGGTTCCTTGTCACCATGTTTGAGGAAACATTTAGCCTCATGTTTTCAAGGGAGCTGCCCAAACTTCAAGAGCAGCTCTGCAGCAGCCTGCTCCCAATGGAACAGAAGTTTCTCTGCCTCTTGTTGCCCATGGAACCTGACACACCCCAGTTTTATACCAGGTTGGTCTGTGGATGTGGTGGGACTGGGATAAGCAGCAGCCCTTCCCTCTACCCCTCACGCCACAAAGACTCTCATCAGCTGGTTGGCCTGTTCCCCTCCTTGCAGCAGGTCTGCCCTTCTGCAGGGCACCTCCCTGCCTGCCATGAAATGTCCATCAGCCTGACTACCTGCTGGATCATGCCTGCTGGGGTTAAAGCACAAGAGGGGCTGCACTGCAGCTGGGACCACCCAGCAAGGTCCTCTTCTCAGAGAAGCTCCACAGGAGGCACATTCACCTGTCAGTTAGAGCCCTGCTCCACCATCCATACCTATTGTCACCTGCTGCACCATCTAAAGGCCCTTTAACACACTGCTGATCTCAGAGATCAGAAAAGAACATATTCAAGAGGCACATCATGTCCATAAAACCACCAGCAGTACCAGGAGACAGGATGTGGCTGGTACTGATAAAAGAAACAATTTTGTATCTACTGTGTTTCCCACGGGGGATGAGCAGGAACCCTGCAAATGCCTGAACATGAAGGACATTTCCATGCAACACACAAGCTGGCTGATGTCTCATCACTTACCTGCTCCTGCAGACCCCAGAGATGAGGGAAAGCAGGA